CAAACCGGCAAACTTCTTGCTGCGAGGCAACGATGCTAACCACCGCTCCACCTTGCAGCCCGCTGAGCAATTATTTAAACAAAATAAGCAAGATGATATATCCGCAAAACACCTCCAGTGTCATGACAAATACATGCTGCCCTTTTATGTAATTTTGTAAATGACCTTCAGTGACTTTTTGTGTCGTCTTAGTATCATATATAGCAAAGTGCATAAATCATTGTTCACAGGACTTACTGAGGAAGTCTTTAAAATACAATAATGCAAACAGACAACTTTTGATTCCTTCTGTCCTTGCAAATGCCAGTAACAGCTGCAGTGTGTTCTGCATTGCTTCACTGTCAGCTGCAGTATAAGAATGAAGGGAAGCATCTACAACAAACTGAAAAGCTGTTAAAAGCTGACTACGTTACTTTCACTTCAGAATACATTATCTCCACACAGCTGACAAAATGTTACCACGCTGTTACTGTTGATGTGTGAAAAATTCAATCGGTGTTGTCGAGTTATTTTAGTATAAATCGGCTTCCACAGTGAATTCCCAGAATGATTTAGTCTCTTCTTCCTCCTTTTTAGATGGCAGACTACCAGCCTGTGATTTACACTCAGCATGGCGTCAGACTGAAGACAGGCAGTCTAATCTCTCTCGTCATCTTTGTACAGCCTAACATACAAGTGTCCGCACACACACGTAACATCCATTTTCATGTTCAGACCTCCAAGTATGGATGTCGTAACGATTCCAATTGGTTCAGTGTATAATTAGTCATACAGCTTGGCTCGCCTAAATATGTATACCAACAAGAGCAGTCCCTAAACACACTACAGCTGTGTAATGATTACTGGAGAATCAACGAGGATTAAGACAGAGGAAACATGATAAATACTTTCTAAGCCAACATGCTGCGACGAATCCTAAAACAAATGATTGCATCATGCATGTGAGGAAAAGAGTGGATAATTGATGGACACAGGATCCTGACAATAGAAGGACTGCATAAATGGTAAAACCACACAAACTTTAGCCTCCAACACATTTTCAAGCTCCCCCAAAAATTAGTTAACCTTTTATTCGATTAAATTAATAAACTAACCAATAAAAACTACAGCACTGTATACAAAAGTAGCAAGTTGGTGAAATTGAAGCCTGGCAAAGCTGCATAGTTGTTTTGCAATCTTGGTAACAGAACTTCGCAAACAGCATCTATTTTGATCTCTTCTCCACTACAATCATCACGCTGCAAACCTCTCAGTAATGTTTTCACATTTCATAGCCTCTACCTGTAGGCCCTGCATTGTTCCCATGCTTCCCTTGCATTATGTCTTATCCTTTTTGATAATCTAGCTGTTTTTGTAGTTGCTCTGTTTAACGAAGATACTGGATCTGCACCATTAACACACCAGCATATGCCTGCAATGTGC